TAACTCTGTTATTTGAGTCAACTCACAGGTTGTGTGTGTGTGTGTGTGTGTGAGAGTGTGTGAGAGAGAGAGAGAGAGAGAGAGAGAGAGAGAGAAAGAGAGAGAGATTCAGGACTGAACAGACTGGCTGTGAATGGTGTGATGAGAATAGAGAGAGACACATACCAGTAGACCAAACTTCCTGTGCACAAGCCTTTGAATACTGCGTTTCACTGTCTGAAATAGCATTCATCATAAGGCTAGGATCATTTATTCCCTTTGGAATTAAGCAATAGCCCTGGCAGCAAAAGAAACTATTTGGGGAAGGATGTGGGAGGAATTTTGCTATGTGTTCCAGTCTAGGCAGAAGTATCTTTCATCCTTTTGAAGACAGCAGCCTTCACTGGATCAATGGAAACTGATAACTTTTAGATAATCCTGAATGTAATTCATGCCAAGACTAATATATGCATATAAAGATCTATGAAGATTACTAAAGGCTGAGGTTAGGTGCTTCAACTTAATTATCTAAATGCCAGAAAGGGAACTGTTCTTTGGAGATTAGCCTCTAATGCAGATGCTGTGGAGAAAGGGTAAGATAACTTTTGCTCCTGTCCCTCTCCCCACTTACACTTTTGCAAGTTGTTCGAGTATTTCCATGTAGAATTTTCTTTATTGTTGGAGAAGTTTAAAACAAAGCAATGAAGGTTGCATCCTGGCAATCCCTCCCCATAAAGCTGAAGTGGGTAGGGCTTGGCAGCTGGTGGCAGCTGTAGAGATAAATAAGCAGCAGGGTTGCTGGATGGACAGGGTGCCGAAGAGCCTGGGGCTGAGGATGTGTGGCCATGAGTGCCTGCCCTGGGAAGAGGCCATGAGGACCGAGCTGCAGCTGGAGTCCAGAAGTTCAGGCAGTGAAAGGGAGGTGGGAGTTTATGGGAACTAGTTTAAAGGTCTCTTTGATCAAGCTATTGCCCCCTTTTTCAGGGGGGGTACTTTAGAGGGTAGATATAAGTCAGATATACCTTACATGACTTCTAACTTGTCATTTAATTGATAGGTTTAATGGTAACTAGGGAGTTGGACTGTTCCTATTTGACTTTTCTACTTGTTTCTACCTCAACTAATAAAAGAACTAACTGCATATGAATTTTGACTTTACAAATTAGCTAAAATTGGAATGAAAACAGCTGTTTAGTGCTGCTTAATATTTTCCTGTTTTATTACTGATCAGCAATTTGGAATGTATTTTTATATGGAGGGCTTTTGGAGTCTTCCTTCAGTGTGGTAAATATAATCACAACAGATAGCCTTTGTTTTAGGCTCTTTTTTTTTTTTTTTTCATTTCAGCATGAGAATTAATGTGAAGGGTAAACACATTGAGGTTCCCCACCCCAAACAATGCTGTCTAGGTTTATGAGAGGCAATTAGTAAATTGCTTCCCATTGCTCAAAATATGTAATTAATCCACCTAAAATAAAAAAGCATCAATGTCTGTTCTGCATGAGGCATGTGTAAAGGGGGCATGTCGTAGGACTATTTTAGACATCAATGGCCTATATGTTGATTTTTTTAAGCAAATAAACTATCATTTTATTTTCCAGCTCAATGAATCAAATGTTTAATGATTTTAGAATTTGAGTTACATTGATATCTCTCTATTTGGATTTATTGTGGAATTCTCATTTTAGTGCAACATTTGTACTTTTTAAATAATTTCAATTATTCACATAAGAAAGTAGTAGAAAAGATCTTTACATGATAACCAGGCATAAAAAAGTTTTTCAAATTTTGAAACACTTCAAGAAAATTAGGAAGACAGAGATATATCTTTTTTTTTTTTTTTTGGTACTGATGATTGAACCCGGGGGTGCTTAACCTCTGAGACACATGCTCAGCCCTTCTTTATATTTTATTTAGAGACAGGGTCTTTCTGAATTGCTTTAGGACCTTGCTAAGATGCTGAGGCTGGCTTTGAATTTATGATCCTCCTGCCTCAGCCTTCTGAGCCTCTGGGATTACAGGCATGCACTGCCGGGCCCGGCAAGATAGAGATGTATCTTTTAAATTAGAATATTATTTTAAGTACTTTTTTTCTCTTTGTGTGTCTAATAGTGAATAATAGGTAGATAAGTAGAAGGTGGTAAAGGATGGTTAGGAGGAGAAGATTTTAAACATCTTTGAAGTATTTAGAGATTTAGTCATAAGAAATGGCTTCCCGAGTGCTAAGATATGCACTAGAGTCAATCCTGAGATATAGAGATCAACAAGGACAGCCAAAATAGTATCTAGGACAAAACCAGGCATTGCAAACTGTTTCATCTTGATCTTTAAATACATCCTTAAAAGATGATGCAAAGTCAGCAACAGCCAAGTGTCTGTGGGTTGATAGCCTTTATATTGGGAGTTGTCTCCATTCTCACAAATCCGTTGACCTTGCCCTTCTCTCTGTGCTCTAGGAAAGACAGCGTCTGGAGACCATCCTCAGTCTCTGTGCTGAGTACACGAAGCCTGACAGTCGCTTGTCCGCAGGCACGACCGTGGCAGATGTGCAGAAAATCAACAGGGAACTTGAAAAGCTGCAGATCTCCGATGAGGAGTCAGTGTTTGAAGAAGCCCTGGTGTGCCCTGACACAAGATACAGGTGTCACCGGAAGGGCTCTCTCCACAATGCGGATTTGGCGGGCTTTGGGAGCCTCAGTCAGAGCAGTGCCAGCTTCCTTGCCCCCAGGAACATCAGGAACGATGAACTGCTTGGCGACCTCACCAGGACTCCCCCAACACCCCCGTCTGCCTTTCTGAAAGCTTCCAGCGAGTCCTCCTACCTAAGTATCTTACCAAAGGTAATGCCGGGTAGCAAAGAAACCAGGATTTCGAGCCTAGGGATATGCCTGTGCTTTGGGCTAGAAACCAAAGATTTTATCACACACGTTTTCCAGAATATTTTCAGTGAAAAATCAATGTAAAAGATAATCAACTGAACAAGGTTTAGAAAATTGGAGTGTTTACTAATAAGTAAACAATAAGTAACCAATTTACATTGTAAAAAATATTCAGTACAGATGAGAAGAATGAAGTTTCTCCCTCTCCACTCCCAGTTGTACACCTGAGAGATAAGTATAGTTAAATATCTCACCTGTCTTCCTAATATTTTCTGTTCACAAACAACCACATATTATAGGCATAGGCACACATATGCACACCCATGATAGTATGCATTTATCCTTATTACTATATATCCTGGGCATTTTGCATATTAGTACACAATAGCCTTACTCCATTTTTTTAATGGTGAAATTGAATTCTATATTTTGAAAACACCATGTGGGTTATTCCAAGTTGTTTGCTAATAAAATCCACAGCCAACATTCTAGGATATATATATTTGTTTTTTGCACACTGTGCAAATGCATCTGTAGGTTCACTCATTTTAATCAATATTTCCAAAATTACACTCTCTAAAAACTATATTTCCATGTGACAGTGTCACTGATAGTTTATGAACATACTTTCATCTCCATACATTGGCCAAAGTTGCATATTATCAAAATTTTTCAATTCATCATATTGATAGGTATTCAAATTTATCTTTATACATACAGTAGGGCATATTTTCACATTTTGAATTGTTAATGTATTTTTCAATCCACTTATTAAAAATTGTTTCATCCTGTGTTTTATTGTAGAAGAGCTATTGTAGGCAAATTAGGCAAATTAAGCTATCACCATGAGTGGTTATCCCATTGACTTTATGGGATTTTTGTTTGTATGTTTGTTTTGCTTTACGTGTAAGAGTTTAACATTTATTTGTAATCATAATTATTACTTAGTTTTCTGATTGTAGTTGGTTTAAAAATGTCTTATCAATTTTAGAATTTCCTAAATTGGGTTCAAAGGCAATTGTTAGTATTATTATTATTAGTAGTAGTAGTAGTAGTAGTGGTAGTAATAGCAGTATTTTTGCACAATTTAAAAATTTCCCCATTCTTTTCTAAAAAGGAATTGAAGGAGCTTACAATAAAAGATATATATTTTATTAAACTAAAATTAGAACACCAAAATAAAAGGAAAAACAGTGCCATAATTATAAGGTAAATTTACTTATTTAAGAATAAATAGGATTAATTAGTTAACTTAAGTAATCTTACCATTAAGTCTCACTCTGAATTCTTGGTGATTATGACCACAGAACAATAACAACGGAAAAGACTCATCAGGAATTTTTGTTATAAGGAAAGGGTGCACATTGATTCTTTGAGAGAAACATCATGGTATTAAATTCTGACAGCAGTTTATCACATAGTCATATTCAGAGGAGTTTGTGTGTTTGGTTTATTGTTTCTGTCATTTCAGGGATTTTTGTCTATTTTTTTCTCATAACCTCCATCTCCTTATTGAAGTAATCTTTTGCTTCCTGTACTTACTTATGTAGCTCTTATCTAAATGACCTTTTACTGCCTGTATTTGCTCTCTTATATCATCCTTTAATTCACAGAACATTTTAATTATGTACATCTTGAACTCCTTCTCTGTCATTTCTTCTGCTGTGCTGGCCATGGATTCTAATAATGTAGTATCTTGATTTGTTTGGGGTACTTTCTTCCCTGTTTTTTTCATGTTGTTGTGTGTCTTTCCTTCTAGCACTGCAGATCCGCGGTGTTACCTTTTTTTACACTTTAGGTTATAGTGCCCCTGCAAGATTCCAATACCTCTCCTTTGAGGGGAAGAACAATGTTAATGATCCTAATATACAACCTTAAACTAAATGGTTGCTATTAAGGCGTTCACAGTTTGTCACAATATACAGAAGTGGTGAGTTCAATTGATTTCTACAATATAACAGTAGGTTTGCAGAAGGGTTTACAGTTTCTGATGGTGGACAAAGAACCGGGAGTGAGGTATAGGATAAGATGTTGAAGGGGTAGAAGGAGAGGATATAGAGGTATTAGATCTTAGGACATATGAAAAAGAAATCTGAAGAAGACAGTAGCAGGGGAAGAGAGAGGAAGTGATCTTGGGGAGACAAGTAAGTGGGAAGACAATAGAGTATATAAAACACACATAAATATTTTAAAAAATTAAAAATGTAAAAACAGGAGATAATAAAAGAATATACAATACAACTGTAATATACTATTCAGACATCCCCATTCTCAGTATCCTAATTCATGCACAACACTTGGTTTCACAAATGTTGGGGATGTGAGGGCAGGAGAATAGAGAGGGATAAAAAAGAAAAAAGTCCTGAAGAAGAAACAAGGATTGTTTTGGTTCAATATCAGAATCTTTCCTGCTTCCTTTCTCCTCCAATAGGTGGTATTTTCTGTTATTTGCTGGTATCTCCACCCTCAGGATGTTGAAGGTTACCAGGGTGGAAGGGTTGGTCTTGGGTGCAGGGCACCTGGAAGTGGGGTATGGCACCAGTTGGTCCCAGATAAAAGACTGCACCCCAAGCATCTCCTCTGGGGCCCGCTCATGTGATGTGGGTGCTTGGTCTTATCTCCTTATATCGCCTGTAGACCTCACAGTTCCTAGCCTCTAATTTAGTCTCTAAACTGTATTTCACTCACCCTCTTTCTTTCTACTTCCTAAATGAAAGACCTTTCTCCCGGGAAGTCTTGTGGGTTGTACTCAGGGGTCTGCAAATCTGTCTCGGAGAACTGTTTTGTTTTGCGCAGTCACTATACCAGGTTAACAGCTTCCAGGGAGAGGGGTGAGTTGGGGACTATGGATACCTGCGCACCCAGTGTTCCAAGCTGGAAGTTACCACAACTGAAGATGGCAATGAAGGTGTCCCAAGATGGAGACATCTGCTTTCAGCCATGCAGTGTCAAGTCGGGGGCTGGGAGGTGCGGGCTGTGGCATTGGGTGTTCAAAGGGGCAGTGCAGCCTCTGAGGGTGTTGATGGGGCTATCCTGGTCCTGCCTGGCCTCCACACTGGGTCTGTGGGGCTCTGGAGTTTGTATGTTTGTTCTTCATTTTTGTTTGACTTCAGCAAGACTTATCTTGGATGTTCCTAGTCAGAAGTCCTTATCTGCCTGCCAAGTCCTCCTATCACATACATTAGGACTCTGGACCATTAAATCCAGTTGGACTGCAATCCCTTCTTTGAATGAATGTATTTACCTTACTAATTCTGAGCTGAGAGAAATCCTAAATAGGACATCTATCTTTATTGCTAGAAAGTTAAAACTGTTTGAAATTTAGGATGGGGAGAAGAATGGAACATGGAAGAATCAAAAGTTGTCAGTTGTTCAGGCTAAGTATTTGACCCAGTTGAAAAATGTGATCTGTTGTCGTCAGCCATTGGGCTTCTTTAGAAATCTGTGACTTACTTTTCATCTTAAATTTTTCTACATCTCTCCCTTGGTGGACATCTGCTCTGTTTTGTTAAAAACATTGAGCTGTGTGCTCTCTTGGAAATTGCTTTGGGAGACAGGTTTCCTTCTGGAGAAGGCTTTGACAAGAAAGCTGTTGATGTGTAAATAGGCAGATCCAGGCAGATGTTTTTAATTTCTCAAATATACTCCTGTGGAATAGGAGGCCTCTGAAGCTTAGAGCAGCATCCATTGTTACAAGAGACATAAGTCCTGCTTCCTTTAAGACAGGAAACTTCTGGGGCACCTCAGGTTACCCTGCAGCAGCTTATAATGCAAGTGAGAGGCTGATAGGTCTAAAGGAAAAAGTTTTCACTTATTACTTTTCAAAGACAGGGAGGCACATATTAACTCAAGAAAAAAGACAAAAGACTCAAAACAAATGAAAAACCCTGACCATTTGTTTTGGATATTCTTCTTCTGGTAATCTTTTCACTGGATTATTTGCTTAACGAAGTAAATAATATTCATTATAATCAATTCAGGAATAAATGTGGAAGGGAGGAATATGAAAGCCACTCTAAATTTATTTAACTAAATGAAGGTTTTAACATTGTTAATGAAGCCTGAGATTCAGCATTCTGGAACTTACTTTACCCAACACTTACTTATGCACAGGAGTTGGAAATATGCTACATTTAAAGGGCCATTGTGAACCTGCCAACCACCACCTGAACCAAAAGCTGAATGGAGTAGCTCCCGCCTCCTCTTTCTGACCAGTTGTTCCATCTATGGTGGAAAGTTCTGCACCCCCAACTCCTTTGGTTGCAAGAGGGTTCTAACAAGATATCTGGCCCAAAAAGAGACAAGTGGAAAGTATCTTGTCCCTACTATCTCTCACCTTTCTCTGTGTGGATTAGATTACCTCAGAGATGGCATATTTGAGGATGCATATGTATGTGTAATGTGCTTATTAAAAATGTCACTATATCAGTGTTTTCTATCTATTACTATAAAAAAAATCCCAAAGAAGTTAAAATGAACTTACATTTACATTTTCACTTTTTTTTTTTTTTTCACCATAAAAGAAACTATTCATTGGCTGCTGCACCTTGGCTCTCTATAGGGTTTCTTTATTTGATTAATTAATAAGATTACAATGTTTTCACCTCATTCTATCACAAACATTCTGTCTTAGAATGCCTTTTGATTTTCCTTCTTACTTCTTATACACAGCAAAAAAAAAAAAAATCTCACAGATATTTCCTAGATGCCATGTATTTCTATAAATAGCTTTTATTGTTTTAGCAACTTCAAATTTCTAAAAATTTTTGAGTTATGTGCAAATACCCATCATGGCTGCTCTTTATTATCTTTATCCCCCTACTTACTTATAAAGTTTATCCTTTGCAGATTGTTCAGTTGTTTTGTCTTTTCTTAATGCTTTGCTTCCACCACTGAGAGAGATATTTTTAAACCGCCTTGGAAGTGGAAACCTAATATGTAATGTTGACCCAACAGGATGTTAGCCTTCCTGAGCTTTCCTGCTGGGATGTCTGTCAGTGATTCTGGAATGCCATTCACTGTGGCAGGCATTCCTCACAGCCTGAAATAAGCGCCCAAGTATTAAGACAATGAGCTCCATTGTTTGTGATAAAAAGGTCAGCAGTTGTTTTATTTGATAAAATATTGGACTTGAGTGACAATTAAACCCAGCAAAATGTCAAAGCTTGGAAAAACCGGGTTCCCTTGTTCTAACCACGCTGAGATATTGTATGCTCTATTATTTAATCTCCTTAAGTAGCTACAAAATAAAGAAAAAAGAATATGAGTAAAGAACACATTAAATACAACATGATGGAATGTTTTCTTAAAGTTATCAGGATTGATAAATAAGTTAAATAAACCTAGTGAGGTATAAGTAAATTTCAACAGTTATTTTGGTTTATCTGAATATTCTTTTTAAGGATTAGGGAGTAATTAGTCTTCAATAATTAATTGGGTCGCTGTTTTCAATCTTTAATTGTAAAATTGCCTGATTACTGACTTATTCATTCAAAATATTCTTTCTTTTTCAAAGAAAGATAAAAATTAAATACATGGTATGTCAATACTGGCATGTCCGAAAGACACCACCAGGTGATACCCAAGATTGTTAACCTGAAATTCTAGGAAGAACAGGCTCTTTTAATTTTACTACGTTCTCTTCTCAAACAATCGGCGGTCATATTTGAGCTGTGTGTTATGATCCACAATATTCCTTTCTTCTTTGAGTTTTTGTCATTAACTTTGTTCAAGACTATAGGTATGCCCTCTTTCACTTTAATTTGTTGGTTGTGTTTTTCATTCCTTGCCAAGGAACTCAGTATTTTATGAAATAAATGAATGTGTCCTATTTTCAGTCATAAAACCCGTTGTATCCAGATAGTGTCTTAAACATTATCTACAAGAAGTTCTGTAGAACAAAGACAGCAAATAGTGCCATAACAAAAAGTGAAACATTAGCTGGCAACATTGAATGTGAAGTTCTAATCATTTGGGGAATTGCCAAAATGATGTGCCCTTGTTTTCCTACCTTGCACTGAAAAAGAAATTTAAAAAGCATGAATTCTCATTTGCACATAACCCTAGCAGTGACATCACAGTTTGGATAGAAATTCAAGAGGCTTCCATAGGATATGAGAGAAAACATTGAGCTTGCAATGAAGGTGGACAGCATGCTTGAGAGGTCCCAGAGGAAGATGTCTACAGTCCTGTCTTAGTTCTAGTTCTCTGTTGTGCCAAATTTTCTCTGTAACATTGCAGAAACCATTTCAATCTGTCTATACCACAGCTTCCTTATCTTTTTAACCACTTAGTTATTTTAGCTTTAAAATAATATGGATTTGTGCATTGAGGTTGGTTTATTCGAGCTTATCTGAGGACATAGCTGCTGAGGATAGCATACCTCTATGGGAAAATGTATTAGAGTTCAGATTAAACTGTTCTAGGGATGCTTTGAGTATTTGCATGGTCATGGAGGTTGTGAGACAATAGATCTACAGCTGGCTTGTTAATCAAATCAGGAAATTATAGTGTGAGAAACCCATTTCTGTGTTGATTAATTTCAGACCCCAGAAGGGATAAGCGAAGAACAGAGGACTCAGGAGTTAGCCGCAATGGAAGATGCCAGAATCACAATTCTGAACAACCTTGAAGAACTTGAACAAAAAATCAAAGATATAAATGACCAAATGGATGAATCCTCCAGAGAGGTATAAACCATGAGCTCACCCTCTCCATTTTCCCTTGTAGCTTAAAAACATTTCTGCTCACTAAGACACAGTTCTCAGAGGCCAAATATATAGAGGTCGACGCAGGCATCTGTTCAGTGGGTACCATGTGTAGAGCAAAAGTGCCCTACATTCTTTTATTTTCTGTTTTTTTTTCTTAATCAGATGAGAAAAAAACATTAAGCCATCTTTAATGAGCTTTAAACCAACTTTCTCTTAACTAGTATTATGTGTGTCTGATCACAGAATCTGTTATCTGAAGTACCCTATATTTAGGTATTCAGCTTCAAATCTAAGCAACATTTTTCTGAGCATATTACTATGAGTTATATATCACACTATCACTACAGGGCAGTTCCACACATGAATTAGACATAAACCCAGCTTTCTAGAGATTTGTGAAACAGGGAGCAGATAGCACATATTCTGTAACTCTAATAGAAGATAGTGGCAATTTTATGTTTCTGTCATGGAATGAGAGCACATAATTATTCCTGGTGAGGATCTGCATGTCTGCACTTACAGATGATGTCAATAGCCCCATAGAGGAGTAAGGGGACTGCTCACCTGTCATCTTGTGCATAGACCCTGGAAGCCCCTCCTGCCAGCATTGTTAGGAATGCAGAGCCCAAGTGCTGGGCTGGAGTAACTTTCACTCCTTGTGCCCTAAGGACAAAGACAAGGCTGTTCTCAATGTGGTTTGTGACAAGGCTATTTCCAAAGTGGATTGTGCTTGAATCTAAGTAAATAGCAAAATATCTCTGAAAAGTAAGCAGAAAGGGGGTTGTACTAGAAAAGTTAAGTGACAGGATGGCTAGATTTCTTAGCAAATACACTCTGGGCTCTCCAATTTTCTTATATAGAAAATCCTGAGTCTCACATGGGCTCTTTGGAGTGCTCTCTGTGTCCCCCAATCTGGTTGATATGGTAGTACTTTTTGACATCATTATCTATTAAACTGTGCTAATGCAGTGGGCAGTTGAGAATATTCCTGAAGGTGAAATGTTTCTGAGTTTTGTTTTATGTCCTTAGTTGGATATGGAATGTGCTCTTTTGGATGGAGAGCAGAAATCTGAAACAACTGAACTTATGAAGGAGAAGGAGATTTTGGATCATCTAAACCGGAAAATAGCAGAACTGGAAAAGAACATTGTTGGTGAAAAGACCAAGGTAAAAGAAAATTATATTTGAATGCAGTTCTTATGGTTAAAGCTGTAAATTTAAATGCTAAATGGAATTACCATATTCTTGGATTTGTGTGTCATGTTCCTGGAGATAGCAGCACCATAGAAAAGTTCTAGATCTCATATTGTCACAATACTGTCAGGTACTGGGCAGGTGAGGCAGAGAAAGCTGAGCCCATATGAATGATTTGCAATCTGATATTTCGTGGCAGCTCATTCTATTTGAGGTGAGTTGCTTTTTACTTTTCCATCAGCTTTTCTATTTTTAGAAGAATTTTTTCTTTAAAGTATAATGAGCTTTTTTTTTTTTTTTTCTTAATCACTGTTGCCCTGTAAGGTAGGCTTTGGCATATTCAAATAAGGTTGCCTCTTTTTTTTTTATTTTCCTTTCTATTAAAAAGATAAATGGGAGCCATTTATCTTACCTGTCTTGCCTTGCTATTGTCTCCAATGCAAGTGCACTGCTCTTTGAAAAATATGTTGAAGTTTTCAGGAGGTTCTCACACACTGCCAAGTGAAAATTGTCTATGAGACACAGTGACACTTAGCTTGGATGAGGTCTTATGTATATATTTTGGGCCACAAACCTGTATGTTAGCTGATATCTACTAGGGGAAATATGGAAAATTACCTGCAGATTTTAGAATTCTAGATGTTAGTTTGTCTGTTTCAATTTTTCCTTCCCTCTGAGAATATTATAAATTTCTTTCATTATGATTTAGCTACAGCTAACTAAACCTGATATTAAAAATAAAATTTTGATTTTAGAAAATAAAAAGCAAATGAGCTTTAGCACATTTTTTCTTACCCATCATGTTCTCCACTAAGCTGAGAAAAAGTAAAATGTTCCTATTTGAGTAAATACTAATGGTCATGTGTGGAAAGAATTTCTGCTGAATGTGACTTCCTTTTTAGGCTCTTATGTGTTTGAGCCTATAAATAAGGGCATTTGATCTTGGTGCCAGAGAATGAGCTCAAAATGATATTGTCAGAAATGGAAGTTGCGTTAAAAACTACACATCAATTTTTGGGTTGCCTACGTGTCAAAATTAAACTGCACAGTTTCACATTAAACTTTGTGGGGTCGGCTTTAGCTCAAGAGGTTACTTCCTCATGTTGGACTTCCAATCCATCATATTAAACTTCATGTGTGCTCTTTCTACCTCCAGCCTTTGAAATAGTAAAAAATCTATTTGAGTAGTCAGTATGTTTTTCTTTAGAAGCTCACAGCAAGTCAAAGGATTGGTTTTCTAAATCTGCAGTGCAGTGGGATTCATTTAATAGCTTATGTTTTTCAGACTCTGCATTGATATAGTCAGAAACATTTTGTGAGGGGTGGAGTATTGGGGACTGAACTCAGGGGCACTCAACCACTGACCCACATCCCCAGCCCTATTTTGTATAGGGTCTCACTGAGTTGCTTAGTGACTTGCTCTTGCTGAGGCTGGCTTTGAACTCACAATCCTCCTGCCTCAGCCTCCCAAGTTACTGGGATTACAGGCATGTGCCAACGTGCCCAGCAATACAGCTAGAAACTTTTGATGGAGGCATCAGATGTCTTGTTTGGGCATTTATTAGTTTACAACAGTATTGCTTAATTCAAGGAGTATTTACTAATACAGTAGCATTAGTAAATTAGCTATACTATAGCATTATATCAATACTATAGTGTTATAGCATTAGTATTCATACTGTGGCATTAATACCATATATTAGTGAATACTACTTAAGTAATGCTGCTGTAAAGTATTACTGTTTATGTCATGTTAAAAAGTTTGTGGGACATAGGAATGAGGTATTGCGCTCCCTGCGAATCCTCTGCCTTGCGCATCTAGTTATTTGACTCTGTATATACAAATTCCTAGCTGTAATTTGTAGGCACAGCCTACAAATTCTATTTGTCCATCATGAGTATCAATTCTGCAAAAAAGTGACGCAAGTTGAATTAATGCTAAATCTCACTTCCTGAGGAAATTGCCATGTTTTCCAGACCCAAGGTAGAGAAGAACTCCAGGAACATAAGCAGAAACAGGCAAAGAAGCCACCCCCATCCCTTCTGTTTTGTTTTGGTGGCTTGACAGAAGCTATGCAAGGAAAGAGGACTACAGGGGCCTAAAGTATAGTACCCGCTCATGCAGCTGTTGGGGGATTAGATGGTCTCAGCAGGTGGAATTATTATTGTCTGTCATCACATAGTGTGAAAAATGGTAGAAACTGGCTTTGGGTAAGGGGCTCCAGAAAGTGATGAGGGGAGTGGAAACAAAGGCTGGGCTACATGATGTTACACTGTTCTTGAAAAACCGTCTTAAATAGAGTCTCAGCACTGCTTGGCAGCATGGTTATGATTCTCACATAAGTTTGTTCTGCCATTTTATGACATAGCTATTTTGTACCTTCACTTTCTTCAAATCTCTGGCCCATTTTCCTCCCACTGGCTTAGAAATGATCTCACCACCTGCTTCAGTGAGAAATTGGAAGCATCCAGTCTTCCCACTACCAAGGAAGGTACTCTCCTCCCATCAAAAATCAGTCCTTATGGATGTGCTAGGAGTGCCATCCCATCCCACTTTCTCAAGCCTTCAATCAGTCCTTCTGCACAAACCCTGCGAGTTTGTTGCACTCTGATGTTGTCATGCCACCAGTATCATTAAAAAAATTATTGTCATTTAAAAATGAGCTACTATCCTATACTATGAAAATAAATTTCTACTTTATCTCTCCCCTTTTTGCCATAGATAAACTTTTAAACAATTTTATGGGTACACTATCTCTCTTCTCCTTCATTTCCAAATTAACCTTTCTTTTCATTGCAGTTGGTTTAAACCTCCACTAATCCAATAGTTTTCTCATTTGAAGACTATGGAAGGCCTCAGTGCTTCCCAGGCGACTGGTTGCTTTTCAGTTCTCTTGTGATCATACTCCTGAGCAGCATTCACTATAGAGGACAGCTCCTATTCTCGGCTCTTTCTCCCTCCTCCTCATCTTTGCTCTGTGCATCACCCTCTTATGGTTTTCCTTCTATTACTCTTCTCTCTCTGATCATACACATGTCTCTAGCTCATGATGCTTTTCTGAACTTCTGACTCATCCTGCAGTCCCCTGACATCTCTACTCAAGACACCACACAGTTATTTCCCATTGAACGCATCCATAGCTAAAGTCTGATCTTGACTTTCTGCTTGCCTTCCCACAACAACCTGCCCCAAACTGGTCATGGTCCAGTTTTCTCAGTCTAGGAAATTGCATCTCTGCCCTCTGATGGATTCAAACAGAAATCTAGAAATTGATCTTGACACTTCTTTTCTCCATCACATACAGCTGATTACCAAAGTACATCTCAATTACTTCAGTGTTTCCACATGTCCACTAACTGCATTCTTCCCTAAATCATTGAGGTCTCTTTAGTCCTTTTTCAATGTTTCCCTTCCAATCTATTTGCAGCAAATGAAACATGGTGATTTAAAAAAAAAAAAAAAAAAAGAAGAAGAAGAAAGAAAGAAAACAAATTAGAGAATAGAAATCTTTCAGTATAACACTCTGGATTGTGCCCCATTGTACCCTATGTAAATCTAAATTCCCAGCTGTAATCTGTCACTAGTCTTTCTGTCACCACCTTTCCCATACTTCATACCATCCTTGCCTTGGCCTTCGTTTTATTTGTTCTAAGATCCATCCTCGATCCCATCCCATCACCCTTGGTCCTTCACACTGTTTCTCCTGCCTGGGATTTCCTTCTCCACACTCCATGGTTTCATTGTCTCTGCTTTCAGGGCTAAGGTTCTCTGTTCGTTTTTTAGAAAAGCTTTTCCAGATCTTTCTAGTTGAGATTATATTCTCACGGCTGTTCTTTTCAGACCTTTTATTTTTCATATTTTATAATTTACGTTTGTTTTGGGAGTACTGAATATTTGTCTTCCCCTCTAGCCTGTGAAATAGAAGAAGGCATTGTGATCCACTGTTTATCCATCCTGTAGTAGGTGCCAAAATACTGCCTAGTACACTTTGGGAATATTGTCCTTGGATTCTCCTGCTAACGGCTGGGCCAGGCTGGGCATTGCAGAAACACAGAGCCAAACACCTGCCAAAAGAGCTATGTGTGGCCAAGTTTCAGGACAGCTGCTGTGAGCTGCCCAAGTGCACATGCCAGGGGCCCTGTAATCACATTGCCAGTCAAGCCAGAGCGTAAGACAGAAGGAGGAAGTGGCCTTTGCCCTTTGGATCACGTTTCCCTTTCCATACACCTGTTGCTGTGGTCAGATATAAACTGTGGAATGAGAAGAGCAAAACCTGAAAAGATATCCCTGCTGGGCAAGTTCCAGTTTAAATGTTGATAGTACATCCTGTCATCTTGTCCCTAGTTTTTTGTAGACAAGGCCTGTAGCCTCAGAACTTAAATCTCAGTGTAAAATTATTGGCAGTGTTTCCTTGGTTCTTGACAATGGTCTTTAATGCTATTTTTTTTTTTTTAGTGGATTTGGAACTAATTTTATTTCAAATATTTGGTAAAAATTAATACATATTATATGTGATTACCACTCATTATGTCACATAAAATACAAACCATAGCCATAATTATATATACAACATCAAATATAGACAAGGTATTTTATTATATATTTATTGAACATTTTACCAGAGGTTCTGTGGGCTGGCCTTTTGCTGTCACAAGCATGACTAAGCCTGTTTCCATGTGACTTCAAGTTAAATGCCCCCTGTGTGCTGTATTCTCAGGTAGTAGCCATATCTCTAGTATAAACATGAATAAATCCTGAACAAATATGAGTGTCTGATTTGAGCATAAACTCAGAGGGGATGTTTATTTAGTGAAGCACTAAGTGAAGAGACCATCAAGTGAAAGGAGAGGAGAATGTTACCACTGGCCTAGTTTTCTGTTTTAGTTTAATGGTTTGTTGACAGAGTTAGGGAAGCTACCAGCCCATGAAGCCCAGTTCCGGCAAAGTCTTCCCTTCACTGCCACTCCTCTCT